ACACCATCCATCCTCGCCGACGACAAAGGGGGCGTAGCTGATCGGACAGCAAACAATGCAAAAACACCAAAGTGCAGATAAATGTGGTACAAAGAAAACAAATTGACAAAGGCAAAACCAGAAATTGTGCTTTTTTATATGCACCGAAAAAAGTCGAGCTGCCACTCGGTGCCGAAGGAAGGCTGACAGTGCAACCGATGCCATATATATTGTTGTATGGACCGTCCTGCACGTGTTGCCGGAAAAAATGCATAAAAATACATAGTAAACAAGTGTTGAATTTGTGGTGGGGTGCGAAGGGTTTGCGGTTGCGTAACTTTCTTCCTACTTTTTCAAACGAATTTTTCCATTTGTTTGTGTGCATTCACTTGCCACTTGCACTTTTTGTTTGCACTGCTGCCATACGACAATGCGAGAGTGTATGTGTGTTGTTGTTAAATTTTAGCTGTTCGCTTTTAGTATCCTTGGCACTGTTCAAAATTGATTAATGATCTGTGCAAAGGATGTTACGCCTTGTTCACAACTACGTGCACCACTATTTTATGTGACGTTTTTGTTGTTGCTACTTGCACAAACAAGGTTATGTGACACGTAGTGCGCTCGCTAATGGTGGTGACAAATTTGAGGGAGGCTTGCAGGCTGTTTGGCTGGCGTGTAATCGGCAAATCAGTGAAAACCGCTACGGCTGAGCGACACATAAAATGGTACTAGGATGTGAAATTTGTGTTGTGTTGTCTCTAACAATAGCATTATGTTTATGGCCTATTTGCTAAGCACCTTTGAAGATTTGGGCGCTATCTTGTTACCAATCTCAGATAATCGCCGTCGAGGTACAAACAATTACCATCTGTGGCTAATGTGACACATATTGCAACAAATGACGGGTGGGGCGGTTGGCCTGTAAAAATGCGCTAGTGTATGTGGTTAACTGGGGCGACAAGCTTGTACGAATAATAATTAATTTAGCTACGCTACACACATATTTATTTATAGTTTATAAACTAAGAAGGTCACAGAAGTCGTACGTATGAAATACAAAATATATATGTATGTCTGAACTATATTTTCAGTTGTAATCAATTTTTATACTCTGAACAGGGTGTACTAAGTTTGCCACGAAGTTTGTAGCACAGAGTAGGAAACGTCGCGAGACCCCATAAAGTATATATATAATTATAAATTATCCGCGTGACGACCTCAGTCGATTAAGTCTTGATCATCTGTTTGTCCGCATGTCTGTCTGTTTATATACGAACTAGTCCCTTAGTTTTTGAGATATCCCTCTGCAATTTAGCACACGTCCTTTTCTCTCTCACTACATCATATACTGCCATACAAACTGAACGATCGGAATAAAGTGCATTTATGAAAAACGTTTTCATTTGACGAGATATCTAGACTAAATTTGGCATAGAAAATTGTCCAATGCAACGGCGCTATTTCCAAAAAAATTGTTCAGATCGAGTCACCAGGCATATAGCTGTTACACATACTGACCGATCAAAGCAAGTTCTTGTAAGGAATCTTTTGTATTCTTGTTTTTATTTATTTTACCAATTGTTCAAACTTGTCTTGTACTTTAAAATACCATATTTTCTTATAAGTTAATTGATATTTTTTTATTAAAATCTTTTTAGTAAAATATCGATGATTAAAACATTCTTTTGCTAAATATTTCTTGAGCGAGTAAATTTTTTTTGCGTTTTCTGGAGGTGTTCAAACTAGCCATTTGAGGAAGTGATAGCCTCCTTATTGGAATTAGTAGAATATTGTGACTACTTTAGATCACAGCTTTGAATTCTAAAAAACGGAAGCCGAAAAACGTGGTACCCACAGCAATGCCGACAGCTTTCTCATGCACCTTTTATCACGCTAGTCGTTTTCGGGGCACCCAATTCCGACAGGGTCCGATTCCACTCTTTTTAAAAATTCCAAAATCTGAATATAGCTTGGTAAAGTAGCATTTGCAAAATTTGTTCACTGTCAGTTTTTTTTTTATTGGATTTTCGTATTCAAGAAAGTTCGCTCAAAAGATATACGATATAATAGGTCTAATAACAAGAAATTTATACAATAATTGCTGCATAAAATTGTTTTTGTTTTTTTTTTAGTAAATATGCCGGTTTGAAGGTTATTTCAAATTCCACTCTCATAGTCCTCTCAATTATTTCCTATTAACAAAAAAGTGGGATAGTTGGGAAAATTTTAAGTGTAGATCCGTACTAAAAGGTGGCTGCATAAGAACCTCTCAGCTAAGCTTCCAGAGCTTCTAATAGAACATAATTTCAGTCCGATTGGCTTAAGCCGGCCGTTACAAATTGAGAGTTTGGACGTAGTAGAGCAGCTCATAGTAGATTATTCCTTGTCAATCCTACTAAACACATAGCAAAATCTTCCAGGATGAACGGTCAGCTTAACAGCAGCGTAACCCGATGACACTGAATGACAAGAAATTAAATGGAATGGGCTATAGTTATACCCCAGGATATTCGTAAAAATATGTTAGTTTTTAAAGCCTACGCCAACTTAAATGCATCTTCTTGTTCTACTTGTTTTCCCTATATACATACACACATTTACCTTTAGCATTCACACACACACACACACACATACAAACAGCCATCAACAAACACATATTTTGCAGTTCAAACACAAGTGTTGCCATTGTTACAATTCATGCGATAAGGAATTTTTCTGTAGTTGCTGTTGTTGTGCGTCACACAATACAGAATATCAAGCATTATATAACGACACTCATTCAAACAACAGTTGTCGCTTGCGAACAATGCATGACAAATTTTGATTTTCTGCGCATTTAATCAATTCGAATCATCTCATCCATTTCAGCTATTTTATTCATTCACTACGCTCCGCCTGCTTCCACCCAACCAACCAAGCAAACAGTCAAGCAACCTCGCATAGAGCTATCCAACCATCCTTAGTCAGCACAGTCTGTTGCAGTGGAAGGCATACATACACACACACACACACACACACACACCCACTCTTAATGTTGTCAAATGTGACTAATTTCATGCTCGCGTCAGCGCGTACTTTCATCCAGCACTGATCTGTTTAGTTAGTCGAGATGAGTTGCAAGGTTGTGAGGTAAGAGGCGAGGCGCGGCGTGGCAAGTGTGTGAGTCAAGCGAAGAGAATATGTTGTGCAGTGGAGTGGTTGTTATAGTGCCTTTGTCAACGGTGCGAAACACATTCCTTACCTGCACCTGCAGCACACAGCCATCCAGGGATAACTAGGTGGTGTCAATGGCTCAAACGGAACGGAACATTGGATGACACACGTGATTATCTGGGGAGTTTTGCTAATCGGAATCTATTTGCATGCACATACACATACACACACCGTATACAGAATTACATAAAGGAAACAATAATCAATATAGGCCGTAACATACTAGCTTCCAACTAGAATTGGTAATGTACTAGGAAAAACAAGTGAGGGAGGGCTAAGTTCGGGTGAAACCGAATATTTCATACTCTTGCAACTTGCAAGGAACAAAGGCGGAGGAACACCTACAGGTTTTGGTAAAATTTTTTATAAAACTAAGGGAAGTATCGCTATGATTTCATTTAAGAGAGACCTGTGAAAATTGGCTGCCCGAGTTTTTTGCCAATAGGGACGCAACCTTCTACGAGAGGGCTATAATGAAGTTGGCATCTCGTTGGTAACAGCTTACGAACAAAACAGCGCATATTTGACTTAAATCGGACAAATTTACACAAAGTTATCATCTTTTGAAAAATCAATTAAAAACCGAACGAACTTTTTACTTGCCCTAATATATTAAGCAATTTGGAAGTTATGTACATTAAACCATTTTGGGGGCGGAACCACGCCCAATTTTAACATATGCAATACCAATCTACCTTGGGAGCCAAGGGATGTGTGTACCAAGGTTCATCAAGATATCTCAGTTTTTACTCATGTTCCCGCTTGCACTTGCATTATGCTTACTCTGTAGCAATATGTTGCAAGAGTATAAAGAGAATTTCAACTAACGGGGAATGTTTAAACTTTACCATCAAAATAAATGTGGGGTTTCTTATATACACATATTAAAAACCGATGTGCAGTGATTTCCAAAAGTTTGTCTCTCCATCGGCCCGTCCGTCTGTCCGTGCAAACGATAACGGAATGAGTTCAAAACCAGAAAAAACGTTAATGCAAATGTGCATTTCTTATGGCATAAAAGTCAGTTTGTAACGCTGTATGTAAGGTTGTATATGCTATAGTGGTCAGATCTGAAAAATTTATTCGGATATTCGCTGTGTTGGATCCATACCAAATTTTGTGAAGATATCTTGTCAAATAAAAAAAGTTTTCCATGCCAAAACTTAATTTCGATCTATCATCTATCTATCTTGAAAAGTTCCAAGAAGATCCGACGTTTTCGAGCCAAATTGTGTTAAGCGATGAGACCTATTTCTGGCTCAATGGGTATGTAAACAAGCAAATTTGCCGCATTTGGGACGAAGAGCAACCTGAAGAGATTTAAGAGCTGCCATTTCAGCCAGAAAAAAAACAAGGGTTTGATGTGGTATATTTCTTCAAAAATGATGCCGGTGAGAACGTAACCGTCAATAGCGATCGTTATCGCGCCATTATAACCAACTATTCAATGCCTGGAATTGAAGCTCGTGATCTCGGCGACATTTGGTTTCAACAAGACGATGTCACTTCCCACACATTGCATCAATCAATGGATTTATTAAGAGAACATTTCGGTGAGCAGATAATTTCACGTTTTGGGTCGGTCGATTGGCCACCAAGATCGTGTGACCAAAGAATGTTCTTTCGAATAATAATAAACATTCCCTATTAAATTGGAAATTTCTGTGTTGTTTTTTGCTTTTTTTTTGTTAAGTAGGGAACCCCGAAGTGGATCGTCCTTTATATGTAGATATATCACTACAAGCTGTAAAAATTAGAAAACATCGCAACAACTGAATACATAAGTAAATACAATTTTTTTTCAACAATTTTGTTTTGTTTTTATTCTTATGCATTTTACGCTATTAACCGCTACTAATCGGTATCGTTATAAACGTAGTACCGTTTCATTTTTGATTTCGCTATTTTGCTTACGCTTTTGTGTTTTTATAAAATAATATTATTGTTTATTTTATTTTCACTAACGTTGAATTATACAAACATATATTTATACACAACTATCACGACTAAAATGTATTATATAATATTTCATTCATTTGAGCCCTACCATCATTTCTAAGGCTCAACTAAGTCTTTAGAACACCCGTTATATGCCAGTTCCTCCGGCCGAAAGTAGGAGTTCTGCATGCTGTAGAGTCGATCGATGGGATTCACCATGGGTGATTGTGTCAGCGGTCCCATCAGCTGTTGAAATGTGGAGTAGCTCAGGCCGAGTACGGTGCTCAGAAAAGGCTCGTTCGTTTTGTTGCAGTTCTCTAAATAAATTGAATTAATGTTAAGAGACGAGAAGTTTTGTAAGATTTTCAAATATCAGATAGTATTTCATTAGATTTCAATTGTGCCAAGAAATAAAGAAAAACTCGCTAGAAAAGATATAACGGTGGTGTGGATCTCCTTAGTTTTCATGAAATGGTTTTATGAGTTTTCAGTTTGAACGATATACAAAGATATTCTCTCTGTCCATAGAAATAATAATGCGAAATGGAAAACTGCCTACCGAAAGCAATCAATCAGCATTAGCTGTATGCTAAGGACTCGAGATTTATTACTAATAATTTAAAAGTTAGGGTTTCCAAAATGAATTAAATTTGCAATAATTTAAGTATAATTATATTCTCAAATTCAACTTATCAGTAATTATATTTGCTTCCTTTTTTTGAATATCCACTCTCCACACCCTGTCGGCTACTAATTTTTCTTCGAATTTAATGAATTTAAATAGTATAATGAGACAAAATTGTTGGCTAAAATTTTTAATTTTTTCCACATTTATCTTATGCTCCGCGACTTTTGCATCTTTTGCATTTTGCACTTGGGCATAAGTACACACTACATAGTAGCAGAAAGCAGTTGCAGAGCGACGCAGAGGCGCCATGGCAAGACTCTTACCGCTTTTGATCATTGTTAGCAACGCACCTTTATTGGTTTCCATGCAATTAAATGACGTATTCTCGTTTTCGTCTTTGATGGGGCGCATTTTTACCGCGCTATCCGCACAAGAGGCGCCACTGCCACCGCCACCAGCACCTATGCCGCCAGAGCGGCCGCACGCGGAATACGGCGAATCCAGCAGAGATTCGCTGTCGCTGTGCGCCTCGTCTTTAATCTTCGCCAAATTGCTGTTGTCCGATTCTTGAGAATCCTGGGAGTCGCTTGCACCCTTTGTATGCTCTTGCTTTGCTTTCTTTTGGATTTTTTTCACTTTGGCGCGTTGATTTTGAAACCAAACCTGAAGATTAAATAAATGAGGACTTAATGTTTGGTAATGAAAATTTGAGTATGTTGTCAGTATTTCGTAGCGATTCTGCTCACATACAAATCATATGTTTATGAGAGTACATACCTGTACAATTCTTAAACTTAAACCAGTCTCCTTTGCCAAGTTCTCTCTCACTTTACGACAGGGTTTCGGTGACAGTTCAAAGGATGCTTTGAATGCGCGCCTTTGCTGTGTGTTTAGTATGGTGCGTGGGCGTTTCGGTCCACGCCTGCCATCCAATTTAGGTGCAAATAAGTCATCGCCGTAGAAATCTGTTCTTAAAGAAGTTTATTTTAGTATTGATTAACAATGCGGTTTGTGGTAATGCTAAAAAGGTTTGAGGTAGGGGCGTAGGTTAAATTTTCGGTTCGGTTCGGTTTGTTTCTATTTTCCATTATTTGTGAATTCCAACACATATTTTTACGAAATACATATAATATTCGTACATGTCAAGTAATGCCATGTAATAAAATATTATATGGTAATATTTCTGTTAACCATATTATTCGTCCTTTCCTTTTTGTGAATCACAACAAACGAAAGACTTAATACTGACTGAAGTTTTGAAAAAAATATGTGCTCATGTATGATATAATGCATTACCAACATAATGTCGGATCACTTAGTAATGCGCCTCTTAACCCTTGTTTGCATTCTTCCTCTTTTACCAAATATTCGAATTTATTCAAGATTTTGTATTATTTTGTGTACAACTTACCGTAGCCTTGCAGCATCTCGACTTCTTTTTCATAGTCCAAGCGACAAAATAGTTGACCTTGTTTCACCACGTACTGTTCACCCTTTTTCAAGAGTCCACCGCATACGACGCATGCAAAGCACTTTAAATGGAAAACACTGTCAAATGTTCTCATAACCAGCTCATCGCAGGCGATTCGGTGACCACAGCCGAGGCAGCGATTGCGTAGAAATTGTCTATTGAAAATGAGATACCATAATTTATACACAAATATACTTGTACATACGCATTATGTAAAATGAAACAATTGGGGTATTAGTGGTAAATAAAATTTATGTTATTCGAAATTTTTTTTTTAAATATTAAAAATCATACAAAAGTATATAACAAAAAATTAAATTGAATTTAATTAAATGGAATAACGGATATGTAATAAGCGACCACTAATGGATAATTATTTTATTGAAGTTTTACCGTCTTCTTGTGAATCAGTCATTTTGTAAAGTGACTTCAATGCTATAGAAATACTTTCGGGTCAGTGATATCTAGAGTCATTCTCATTGCGGTAATGGCTTAGTATTTTGAACCGAATAAAATTGAGATAAAACAAAAAAGATCATAGGTAGGTAGGTAAGAGTGTCACCCCTGCGGGCTCAATTAGCGTTAAACTGCGACATTTTGATATTCTATTTGTAAGATCTTTAAATATTGGTATCTCATTTCATTGCTGTGTTCAAACCAACTCAATGAACCTACTTAACTCCGTTACTAGGTTTGGTAGCTGATGGCTCCAAGAGTTCTACGTTGGGATTGTGATAGAGCTGGGCACTCGCAGAGGAAGTGTAGAACCGTTTCCTTACTCCCCTCGTGCTTGCAGCCGGAGCACATATTGTTATGAGGCATTCCCATTGTGTTCTCCAAACAGCTAATGTCCCGTTATAGTGGCTGTAAGTCTATATATGCTTTTTCTGGACCTATTTAATAAGTCGTTAATTCTTGTCTTGTCATATTTTGCCCATATATTTTTGTTGTATGAAAATAGGATCATTAGTCAAAAAGATGTTAATTCCGCAAACGAGATACTTAATTGATTTGAAGCTGATCAAGTCACGATCTTGTCGTGTACTTTTCTTATATGAATAAATATTGAAGAAGGCATGGGTTTAGGTCAATAAAAATACAAGAGGAAAAATTAACATAATATCTGTATTTAAAATTTTACTTGTTTACAGCTATAAACAAATTGAAGAGCAGTCGTATTACACTAAATTTTAGGTTAGTAAGCTCAAACCGACTTTTACCAGCCACCAATAAATTATTTTATGAGTAAATGTGTAAATATTAAAGACGGTGTTGATAAGGACGCCATCGCTTACTTGCGTATAATTGGCTTGCAGGTAATTGGCTGCTTTTTTGTGAGTCTCATCTCTACTAATTACCTTGTTCTAATTGCGCATGTCGATTTTGTGCAGCTGTATATTGTCTGTCGTCTTTTCAAATGTTTATCATTTTTATTATTAATTTATTTTAATATCTTCTTATCAAGTCGATTTTCTAGTTATTCAATGAACTATATCTAGATAATAAGCTGAATGTTATAGAGATAACATTTTGAAACCAATTTTCATACATGTTTTCGAAAGGACACACAATTAGATATAATTTCGAACTGTTAACAGTATAATTTACCCGTCCAACTAATATTTATTCAGAGTTAAAGGAAAAGCTATTAAGCAAAAAGTTTTCTACAGTGAGCTATTCAAAAATTGTGTGATTGTGTGTTGTCATTAAAATTCGTGAATAATACAGAGTGCTATTACCATAATGCTTCATTAAAATTTCAATAATTTTCACTAACTAAACAGATTAGAGCTATAAATATTAAATAACACAATAATTTTTATACCGAAAATAATTCTTCTCTGAAGCTTTAAATCGTAACTAAGAACGGCTACAATTTAAATTCAAAATCAGCGATATCAGATTAGGTCAATCAGCAGTAAAAAACTTAAATCTTATTTTGGTTTTTTAGTTTGAAGTTGACGTTACGTATACGCAGTGTCATCATTTTTTTATCATATTCTGCATTTGGCGTGGTTTCTTGTAATGTACATCACTTTTGGATTATTTCCCTTAAGAGAGCTAAGCAAGTATTATGACATACTTTTTCAAATTATAAAAAATATATAAATTATAAATTAATGTATTTTGTATGTATTTTACTGTTTGAAATTAACATAAAAATTAACACAAACATTTTTACAATTAAACAAGAAAAACGTTAACTTCGGTTGCACCGAAGCTATATGCTATAAAAATACGATCTGACTAATTTTTGCGGAGATTGCACCATTGCTTTAGACAATAACCTATGCCATATTTCATGAAGATATTGTATCTCGTCAAATGAAAAAGTTTTGTATACAAGCACGTGATTCCGATCGTTTAGTTTGTATGGCAGCTATATGCTAAAGTGGTCAGATATCGGCGGTTTCGACTAATGAACAAGTTCTTGGTGAGAAAAGGCCGTGACAAAATTTCGGAACGATTACTCAAAAACTGAGAGCATAGTTCGCGGATTTACAGAAAGACAGACGGACATGATGATATTGACTCGTCATTCTGATCATTTATTAATATATTTAATAAAATCTCCGACGTTTTCTTCTAGGTGTCACACACTTCGTAGCAAACTCATTAAACCATGCTCAGGGTATAAAAACAGGCTTAAAACTTAAAAGAAGGTAAAAAACGAAGCCTCATAAAATTTGAGCTCTTAATGTTATATTCCTACCTTTGTATTTTATATTTAAATTATATACGAAAAGTTCGTTTTTATATTTTTTGTAGTTTGACTTTTGAGTATTTTTAAAATTAACTGAAAAATTATTCTGGCAGGAAATTGAAAGCTCTACCAAAAAATTGCCCAAAAATATAACAACCCAATATGCACATACTTGCCTATCTTCATAAATTATGATTTAATGCATTTTTTTGAGCAAAAAGTAATCTTAAAATAATATTTTTCAAAAGTGGAGTAACGAAGGCATAACAAACTTTGAATTTGAAGAATTTTATTTGTATGTAACTATGTATATAGATATCAATTTAACGTAGTCATATACATATTTATATTATATATGTACGAGTATGTTGAGTATTGGTCATGTGCAAATATTTACCTTTCATAGTCGATGCGACAATAGAGTTTGCCATCGCGCGCATAACAGGAGTGCACCAAGTGCAGCGCACAAGTGGCGCACTTGAGGCAGCCCTCGTGAAATGAAGTGTCCACGACACGCATTATATAACGATCACAAATTGGCTGACAACAATAGGCACACTGCGTTCCCCCAGCTGCTGCTGGGTCCGAAGTCAAGGCGGTGCGGCAAGCGGCGGACGCTGACGATGACAATGATGGCAAGTGCAATGACAATGACAAAGGCAATGCCACCGGCAGTCCGAGCACGGCAGCTACGGCGGCGGTAGAGAGCGCATCACATTTATTGCCATTGTGCAGTGTTGACGGTGGCATGGGGGGTGTTGCACAAGGCGAATGGTCGTCGTGCGCGAATTGTCCATGCAAATGCGTACCAAAATGCAGTTGTAAGTGCTGTTGTTGTTGTTTGTGTTGCAACGTTGCGCAATTGTCCGCCGCGTGACGTTGCATGGCAAGGAACATGCTGCTGTTGTTGTTATTGGTGTTGTTTGTATTGTCATTGTTGCCATTCAGGCAATTAGTAAGGTTACTATTGCCGTTGTGGTCAATACAACTGTTGTTGTTGATATTTGCGGTGTACATGGCAGCCATGGGGCAGGCATCATTGTTGACGATGCCAACACCACCGATACTTTCATTGTTGCCAACAACGTTCATATTGAAATCGCCCAATGCTTGTCTGTCGCTGCCATACAAAGAGGGGTGTACGGCGTTTGGGGAGCAAGTGGAGGGTGGTCGACCAGGCCCTGGACCAGTGACTGGTACATGCAGCGCCATTTGCTGTTGTTGTTGTTGTAACTGTAATTGTTGTTGTTGCAGCTGTTGTTGTGCTTCTAGTCTTTGTCCAACACTGCTCGCATTACTCGCCTTCATATCGACATTGTTGTAGCATTTGTTATCATTGCCGGCATTGCCATTATTTTTGTGGCCATTGCAATTTCCTATGACATTTGTATAAAACGATGTCGCTGCTGCTGCGGCCGCTGCTGCCGATGCGGTTGGTGTTGTCGGATTTCCGTTTATTTCACCGCAGGCCACTGCGCTGACACCACCCCCACCACACAACACCTCGCGGGAAGTGGGCACAGCAGCGCCAACCGTCATTGCTGAAGCGCCGGCCACGCCCCCCAAACCGGCAATGCTGCCTATTGCCGTCAATGCTGTTGCGGCCACCATAGATGCTGGCATCGTTGTCGCAGTATTGATGCTTGTTGTTGTCATCGGTTTGGTCGCCTCGTGTGTAGCGCCAGTGCCGGTGCCATTGTCACTTGTTGTCGCGCCGGAAGTTGTTGTTGTTTTCAATGCTGTAGCCAGTGTTGTTAACATTCTTTGACTTCCGCTCATCATCATGCTTGCGGATTGCTGTTGTGGCGACAATTGCTGTTGTTGTTGTTGATGTATTGGCGTATGACACTTGAGGCCCAATGGTACTACAAGTTGACGTATACGGGCAAATACAGTATATGCGTGAATGCGTGTCCGTGTGTTGTGTTGTGTGTGTGTGTGTGTGTGTGCGTTGGATAGAAAAAATTTCAGCAATTTTTATTTGAGCCTCGTAAATTCCATTATACCATACATATTTATATACATAGATACACACGTATCTTGTTGTAAATATCAGCCATACTATTTATTTACCCGACAACGTTCGGTTTCGGACAGCCAGCAATTGAATGACCACAATTACAAATTTTGCATTCGCTTGCGACACCATTGATCTGCCAGCCCGAGTCTTTTGCGGTCATGCTATGGACTTGTTTACAAATTGGGTCCACAACAGCTGACCAACAAAATCCTAGCCGCAGCGTGCACTCGACGGCCGGCGGGCGAAGTGAACGATCTGATGGAGGAGGGTTGGAGAATTGAACTGGAGTGAATTTGTGGTTTTGCAATTATGAAAATAACTGTAATGCGGATGTGTAAGCTGCTCACAAAATACTCAACTAAATTTTTCAGCTGGAAACCGCCGCATGCATAGTTTTTGCCTGCCAGTTGACACTGACAGTTAGTTTGGTTGTAAGCGTTAAGTGTGTATGTGTGTGTGTGGGTTTTCTATCTCAATTTATGCCACACATTTATTTGCCAACATTTAAGAGCAGCAGATTGCTCAATTGCTGCAACAGTTGCGGTTTAATTATGACTTTTTGTATATGCTACTTCACATACATATTTGTTAATGTACATATGTATATGTAGAAATACATATATAAGTGACTATTTAATGCAAATGTGCACCATATAAATTTTCCAGCAAATTATTTCAACTAGAGCTTACTTTATTAACAACTTTAATAGTTTACTGTAGTGGTAATATGTTGCAAGTCAAAAATGTTGTCAAGAGTTTAAAGTACACTTTTTTTTGTGAGTACTTATTGTATTTAAAGCTACCTACATCATAACCACTTCGTTGCAGTCCATACGGAATGTTCATAATTTAATATTTAATTAAAGTCTAAAGGCAACTCTGAATACTCGTATTGCAAAATTTTTTGATTCAGCAACAGTAAAGGCTACAAATAACGCACGCAATAGAAATATGTGGGTTCATAGTTTTCATAACAGATATATACTCTGCGAGTCTCAGAAAATAACATTTTGCCCTAAACTTTTAAGACCGGGGACATTTATCTGCTAACTGTCATCAAAGTAACAGTTAGCATTAGTATAGGTATTAAACGAAGAGACATCGTTAGCATTGTGATCGTAAGTTTTACAAGCCGTGTAGGGGTATAAGCATTTGTGAATTTAAAAAAATAAAATTTTTTTTATATATGGATATATGGACTGGAATGATATATGGAATGCGCAAGTATATATTTGAGAATATTTTTCGAAAAGTTGAAGTTTATCCTTCAAATAGTGTGGGGCTATGAGTGTATTTGTAAGAATGTTTTAACTTAGTGAAATCGGCTGCCAAAATTTTAAACGGATTTTTTTCACAACGCTTTTTCAATGTCGATGAGAAACATTTTATGTTTAATGGTGATCTATTCTTGATTGTATCGGCGTTTATTTGTGATCGACTAAAACTGAATTGAAGCTATAAATACCATGATCAATGTCGAAGTTTAGCGTGTTAGATTAGAAAATGCTCTATTGATGAGCCTCGAGGTGGCGACTACACTTGGGTGGCTAGACTGAAGTCACGATCTTTGTAAAATCTGAGGACTATGGAAGTTGGATATCATATAACGACAAAGCGCCTTAAATCCCGTTTTTTTATTTTGTTGCGTGGATTTCAATTGGAAAAATCCTCCCCTACAAGTATAACTGGGGAGATCAGTCTAACTTCTGCCTCCATAAAAACTTAATTGAACCATAATATGTGCTAAATATTTGTATGGCTACTTTAAGTCCATAAATAGCCAATTTACACACGCTAGTAGAGAAAAGTTGCGGTGAATCCGGCAGTTCCGTAGTGTAATAGAGATGAGAAAGAAGGGAAACAATATTCAAAGTTTGATTGAATAACCCTTGCGTTCTCGCCACATAGAGTCAGATTTATTTATGTTGAATTGAATTGAATGTTGAATCAATTTCGATTGATTGTCGATAAGATTGTAGAGATTCAGATGAAGAATTTATAAAAAATTATTTATTTTATGTTCTTTTAGATTGCTTTATAAGTGATAGATGTTTCGCTGCAGTTGATATCAAATGAGTTTTTTTTTTAGAAATATCTACTATTTGCTCTCAGAGAGCGGGCAAGCTCATACTGCGATATTTATCGCGTATATGTTTTTATCGATTTAATCGAAGAAATCATCCATTTAGAAGCTATGCCTAAAGAAAATATACAATCACTAAAAAAGTTTCCTTACTCTCTTATATGAGTAAAAAATGTTTTACTAGTCTACTCCTATGTTTCACTTTGTAAGATTTTAAATCTGTAAGCTATGATGTAAACATACTTTACAAAAAAATTTTCATAGCCGCTTGAGAATATTCATTGTTCGATTGTTCAATTAAATATTAAAACTGAAAACACTCATCTTACCGCAGCTTTTCATCTAACCAACTTAAAATTGATTTCGAAAAAAGAGTGTTCTTCAAACCAACATATTCGAACGGAATGAACATTTTTTTTCGCATTTTTATTAAAAATTGTATACTTTAAACTCCACTAGCAATAGGATATCACAGATTATTTGTTAGAAAAGGCAGTGAGACAAGGAAACTGGGCTGTATTGAATTTTTATAACAGGACTATGTAATAGTAGTTCTTTTCTGAGAAGCTCTTTGTGTTTAGATAAAATTAGTGTATAAAGAGTTCATCTTAATGTAAGATTTTCAGTTAGTTTTTTAGGTTTATGAAGTTTGATGTATATTTCTTGTACCAAATTTAAAGAAATTTTACTAATTTTCCCAATTGATTCCACTAACCTTAATTTAGGCTCATGAAATTTGTAGCGTTTCCGTATAAATTAAACCAAATTGTTCATCAACTGTATACATAGAAATGACAGGTGAATATTAGCAGGGATTTGTGAGAAGATAAAGGACTGAGAGAATGCACTGTTATAGCAAAATGAAAGCATATGAGTAGAGTATAAAACTGAAAGGCAGATTGACTAGCTTAATTCTTCGCTGAAATTTTCATATACTTATGCGCCGCTGTGTAATGCGATTAGCTGCCTGCTGGTGGCATTCATATCACATATGTCAATATTTAGCGCTACAACTGCACACACCTGACAAAAAGCATATGCATGTGTGTGCATACGAAAGGATATCCGAAAGTATTTAGTGGAAGCTTGACTCAAAATAGGTAAATATATTGACAGATTTCTTATTCGTGACGCTGCTTGAAACAACGGGATTTACACTTGTTTTCCTTATGCTCTGCGAACGAAACAAAGCGAATCCTTTATGCCACTATTTTCAGGAGCGCTACCACTGTTTGTGCGTGTGTGCATACGCCTGTGACTGGATGAAACATTTGAATAGACACAAATGCTTAGCATATGGTTTTCGGTAACCGCCGACTTACGCTTCCACCCTCAGTCTGGTTCGGCTGTTTTTGTTCCGTTCACTTCTTGTTTTTGTTGTTTTGTGATTATAATTAAATTATAAAAGAATTTAAGTCAGTCAGTCAAATATGAAGGCGAAACGCCCTTTCATTTCGGCTAAATGCCGATCGGATATACCGAATTTGTACGTAAATGAGTCAACAAAAGGAAATAAATGCTTGTGAATGTGTGTGAGTGTAAATATGTATTGCAGGGAGGTTGGCAGGCAATTTAAAGGTGAAGGCTGTGCGTCTACAAAGTCCTTCATCCCCAAATTCGTCCGTCGTCGGCACGTCAGCTTTATATGTGTGTTTGTATTTATACATATATTTCTATGTATGTATGTATGTATATATGTATATATAACATGCGCATAACTACAAAGGGCCGCATATATGCAATAAATTGATTATTATTGTTGTTGTTATTATACGGTGGCAAGCTGTTGCTTTAATCCGATTTCATCGCCCAAACAAAAAGCAAAGAAATTATTTCATTGCACTTTTTGACTTTTCATCTCTTTAAAGAGGATAACGGTAAACAATACGCATCGATTACAATAATACAGCAACAACATACGGTAAGAAAAACTATTCGTATTCATTTGCTGACCTTTGAAACTTCTAAGCTGACTGATTCACCTAACAGGGGGAAGTGTGAAATTATATTCAAAGCTATCAAATTATCTTAAAGTGATAACATTTGATCTTAATATTGTAGTTGTTGTTGTGATTGCGTAAACATTTTTATATTGCATACTTTACACATATACAAATACATATATACATATTATATATACAAATTTTGTGCGAAATGGTAAATTGCGAGATGCTTTGAGCTCATGCTGTGGGATTTGCCACATACTGCTATTTTTGAATGTGTTAACTTCTTATTGAGTTTCTTAAAGTGATGCAAAAATTGGGCAAAACATAAGCTTTTAAGCTTCATTACACCTTTGTTTGAGAATGTATCCTGAAAATTATTGCTTTTGGAAAGTGGGTCTTAATATGTACAACAAAATCCGTTGAAAATATTTAGCATATTAATAAATATTAATAAAAATTGACAGAGATTAATTTTAATTTAAGATGAAATCCTTTTCGGATGAGTCAAGAAGGAATTTCCCAAAAGTGGGACCGAGAGTGCTGTAGAAGGTAAGTACTAAAGTCTAAATACTGAAATCCAACACATGTAGAACAATTCACAGATGTTATTAACAACTTATGTAAATGAGTAGAATTGGGTAAAATCATCTCCCACACACCCGCTCAGCTGATAGATATATGTAGTATTGCTTATATAATATTAAAATTTCCTCCAACTTTTGCTCAGCGAGAACTCCTACCAAAATTCACAAAATGAAAAAAAGATTTTTCTAAATAAATAAGTTTAAATTTAAATACCTATAATAGTGTAATAGTTAAAATTTTAAATTTCACGGGTTCAAACCGGGCCCAATTGTCAAAATGGTTTTTATTATCATGATATATATGCCTCTAAAGTACGGTAAAACTCTCAGCTGTATACGTTGCTTACTTTGTCTGTAGCAGCCGATAAGGTTAGACGTAAAAACAATACTGTAATGATACCCCAGCCTCCATATTCGCCAGACATGGCTCCGTGTAACTTTTTTCTATTCCCAAAAATAAGGAGAACCTTAAAAGGTCGTCGTTTTACAAGATAAATTAAAAGAAGAAGCGCTGGCATAAGTGCATCATACAGAATGGGGACTATTTTAAAGGCGACAACTTGAATAAATGCATAAAAAAAACGAGAATTTGATGCTGTATTTGGTGGGATCAGAAGGCATGGTGTATAATACCGAGTGAAACCATTAATGAGGAACGCTACCGACAAGAAGTCGTTCAATTGAAGCGAGCGATTGCCGAAAAACGTCCGAAATTTGACTCAAGCGGTCGCTTGAACTTTAGCAACAAGGAAAGATGATATAATTGTATATATAATTTTATACCCATATACTTATCATAAGACAGACCCGAAGAGGAACGAAACAAATTAATGGCAATTCGATGTTTTATGTAAAGAAAATTGGTAATTAACTCTGACTGTACCCCAAACCTTAACTTTTTTCGTATTTTAGCTTGGTCTCTACGGCTTTTTATACGGCTTCTTTAGATTTTAAATCATTTCTTGTGGATTAATAACTAAAATTTGCAATATATTAACAATTCAGCCGTCAAGTTGGTAAGTTTCAAATTTTGAGGGGAGGTAAAAAAATAAGTCGATTAAAAGTTTTACCACAATAGTACGAGGCATTGATACTTGTAAGACTTTAAGAAGTTAAGAAAGGACATGAAGGACCACACACAAATTTAGTGTAGCCCTGCTGACATTGGCATCATTAAATTACGATTTGTATTTCCAGAAACGATTGTTGAGTTAAGTTATCAAACCAACATACTAAATCTCGTTTGCTTGCTTTCCAAACTTCGAAATACATATGTCAATGAGACATCTTTTCAAGGTGGCTGGCGGTTCTTTGCATGAACGGGGGCCAAAACACTTTGCCACCTTCCAATAAATTGAAGAATAAAGTTGATATTAAATAGTAAGCGATTCATAATTGCAAAATCACAAACTAAAAGACGAAGAAGTGTCAGCTCTAGTTGAGGTAGAAAAAAATTAAGAAAAATTTCTTTTAAATATAATATTTCGAGCTAGCAAACATTTTCTTTCTTGACTTCTTCTGTGCATTGCTCACGCTACAACAATAAATACATAAGCCACTTGGCTGAATTCTGATAAAAAAATTGCGTGAAATCTGCCGGTGGCTAGTGTTCAAAGATTCATTTACAAACCAAAATTATAAAATACCTAAAAGACTAAAAAATATAAGACAATAAGTTATGAGTAGTAGACATACTGGTATAACGTTTTTAGAGCCATGTATTTTTCTCACTCCCAGCACTATAATGGACGTTGGAAACAAGTAAAGGGCGGACCACATTCACAATGGCCGGCTTAAAATAAAAGAAACAGTTCAGCATTTTTTTTAACAAAGGAAGTTGTCTAATATACCACATAACTAACTGGAAACATGTTTTTAGGGATAGTTTGTTTTTTGGGAATTTTCGAGAGATTTGCGTTCAATTCCAAAGTTTTTTTTATTACATTTTTTTCTTTTTTGAAAATACCGTTACTCGCACAAATTTTAAATTGCCGGCGGTTCTATGACATTGTCTCTATATATATATATTTGGACATATAATTGCACTGCCTCTTTTCGTTAAAGAATATTCAAAAAATACTCACACGTGGCAACTTGTATGGGATGCTGTTCATCAATCATTGCTGAGTAGTTTTATTGTGGAAAAAATCATTTAAATTTTTTTGTTTCAATTGTATTTTTCTGTACTTCTATTTTGGCACTTTCACTTTATTGAATTTAAAAATTGCAAATGTTTCACTGTCGAGCGCGTTGTTAATTTTTTATTTTTTGCATATCAGGATATTTGTAAATTGACTAGTTTTCGAAAATTTCAACACTGGCTAGCTTTGTTAAGGCGACGATCCGTATTATTGTATGACTAACAAAACGCCACAAATATGCTTGAATGACTATGGATCTCTGATATTGCGGGCGTTTGGAGAAAAATGCGCTATTGCATTATTAGCCGTCCAAGCAGAGCTGGTTTTGCATGCCCAAACGCAAGAGGGATATTTTCTCTACGACAAAATGGAGGGGAAACTCACTGTTATTTGTGTTAAGTAATGCATTGCACAAAGGAAAGCAAGCAAAGTTGCTTATATATAGATATATATATATATAAATATATGTATATACAAACGTATATATATATATGTAGTGACTATCCCGGAGAGCGCCGCCATTGCCAGTCGAAATATATTATATTGAACGCCATATTTTGTATCATCGTTCGCATTGTGCGCTCGACAAGTGCGCGTCCAGTGCGCAGCTCAGCGTCCAACAGTCAGTCCGACATTCGTTTGCCAGCCATCTTTCCAGTTCAATGCAAATATATACAGATGTTTGTCTGAATTCGCAGCGCTGTTGAAATTTCCCTCGCATTTGTGCAAAGTGCATTGTAAATGCTCCAGGCGGAGCACGCGCATGCGTTGGACCAATCGCGTCTGTCGTATCTACAAGCTAAGAAAATGGGAGCTATACTTTGGCAGGCGCATGTACCCGTACATTTGTGTCTGTGTGTGTGTGTGTGTGTGTGCGATTGCTGTATTGTGTCCTTCCGACAATAACAACAGCAAGAAAGCGCCATGTGAAATAAGGGAGCACAAAGCAAATGTCGTTGTCGGAAATGCAAGGCAGAAAAAAAAAGAAGAAGTCCAACAACGTCGTAAACATTGTTATTGGTTTCGCTTTAATACACCCCCAAAAAGTTGCACACCCGTTAACTGAGTTGTGTCTTTGGCGCAGTGCTTTGTATTTTTAATTTTTTTCGTGATTTCCTTTTTTTTGTTCTTCTGTTTATTTTTTGTTTCTTCTTTTTTATTTTTTTGCTTTGATTTCTTTATTTTTTGTTTTTTGCATTTTTCTGCGATTTTTCCAACGTAAGTCACCGCTCAAAGTAGCTGCAAAGTAGTTGTAAAAATACGCCCACTTATAAGCTTCTTATAAGATTGTTCTCCAACATTTAACGGTACTTTAGACAGCGGAAAAATTGCAAACTTGCTGTCTTCGTAGCTTTCGGCGACGCTTTAAATGCGTTGATGCATCGTTTATATGTGAAAAGCAGCGCTTTAAGCCGCTCTACTGCATGCATTATAGATAAATATGCTTTGTTGTAGTTGTAGACATTCATCACCGCACGTTGTGCTACTTAAATAGTGAGGTGTGTGCGTGCACGGCGAGAATTGCGTAACATGGAAGGCTGAAAAGGCGAAAATAGCTAAGAAACCACTTGGCCGCACAGCCGCCATTGTCAGCGATGTATATGCAGACGCACATATATATATATATAAGTATATATATATACAGACACGCTTATATATGCCAAAGATATATAAATATATGTTTTTAGAAGTTTTTAACTCGCCGCCGATAATTCATAGCCTCATTTAAGTTGCATATTGCTGTTGTAGTAGTAGTAATTGCTGCTGCTGTTGTTGTTGTTATGAACAGCTGATTGTATTGTTAATGAATTAAAGCATAGTCGAACGCCAGCCTGCTATGTAGCGGTGTTCGTGTGTGCATCAGTTTGTCGTTTCTGCCGTTGAAACTCGGGCTTAGTTGGCCTCAGTCTCGGCTGTGGTATATTCTCGTAATTCTTTCACTTGAGCACTTTAAGTTGATCAGTTGCCGATGCGGAAAATTTGTTGCTGTTGTTGTTGATGGTGCAGATTTTCACCTTCTTTCATCACAAACACACACACACTCGCACAGACATTTCTGTGTATTAACACTTGTCTCTGTATGTGTGTAGGCGTGCTTGTGTATGTATTTATGAGATTATGATTGTAGATATTTGCGCTCTCTTCCGGACGAGTTGTAGCGCTGCCACATTGCTTTCTTCACCCAACCGTCCGTCCGTCTGTCCATTCGACTAACCGACCACGTGCCATTGACTGGCTACCACTAGCGGCGGTCCTACTACTCGACTCCTCCACCGGCTACTCCCAGCACACGCTGCTGGCCCGCTGTGTGCCGCTGCATCCCGCTGTTACCTATGAGAAGCGTCTAACGCTAGTCTGGCAGCAGTTTGTGTAAAATTCCTTGCGTGCTTCTTCGCGGCGCTCTTAATGCGGGTGGCGACGCAACGTGGCAGGAAGGTTGGCAGTCTCCGCCGTGCGATGAAGATGCAATAGGTATGTAGGTGTAACATAGCTCCACATACACACAGGCAAACTCACACCCATACTTAAAAGATGCTCGTGTGCTTACGTAACGGTAGTTGTGCTCATTCAAATTTCTGCTTAAATTGGAGTAATAGGTTTTCAAGCAGTCATGTACATATGTATATACTTATGTGTATAGGAGAGAGCATAATAAGTATATGCATATATACATATATTTATATTATATTCTGAGGTGCCGAAAGTAATATTCGTTTCTGCTTTGTTGTGATTAAGACAATTGAAGTGATAATTGAGTGAAAGTCTCGACAATACACTTCGCTCTTCGGATTGTTTTTCATTTTGTCTATGCTCACAGATTTCAAATATTTATGTGGAAATGCATGATGTTTGAAATATTGTTTTGGCTGGATTATATTGGAATTCACACCTTGTTTGTATGTATATACGAAATTGAATAGCATTGTTAAAAAATTGGAACAATCTGGCTTTTATTTATTTATTTTACACACTAAAGCTAATTCTCAAAGTAATTTAAGAGGTTATATCCACTTTTGAATTTCAAAATAAAATGCGTTTTCAAATATAAATTCACATAAAACGCATTTTTTCTGATTTGCAAGTGCATATAACCCCTTAAGCCAGTAAAGAAGGGCTAAGCTCAGGTGGAACCGAGCATTATACAATTCAGAAAGCAACATGAATTTAAAACGTGCCAAGGATGTCAGAATAAATTTGTCTTCGCTTTTTATATCAGCTTATCTCCTCACACATTAGAAATATCATCATACACAACAAGCTGGGTGTAAAACTATTTCATATTATAATTCACAGAAAATCGCGACATATAATAGGTGAGGGAGCAACACAATTTTATTCAATTGTTTTTTTTTGTTTTTTTAATTTCTAAGCACGGCCGGGACGGAAAGTGTAAACTCATGTCGTTGTTTTGGTCAGCATTCGCCAAATAATTTTAAGGGGCACACCTAAGTGAAATTTTGAAGAAATCGTATCAGATCATATACAATATACACTTAAAAATAACATACTAAAAGTTCAAATCGATATCTCAAATAGTTTTTAAGTTAAAGCTATTTAAAGGCTAGCCGCTCAGTTCAACTTCGTCTTTAAACGCGTTTTTCTTAAAACAGCGTTTTTCGAATTTGCTGCAGTAATAAATCGAAGACAAATGATCTCATCATCATGAACTTTTTTCTCTCTATACTGTATATAATTAATTCTAAAATTTAACTTTTTTTAAATGTGAATTTTTGATTTTAGAAATTTTTAATTTTAGAAAATTAAAGAGAATATCTTCTGGTTTGACGAGAAGGTTTTATTTTTTAATTTTTATCCTAAGTGGATTACCTTTTTTTTTAGTTTTTTATCAATAAATTTTTGATTTTTATTTTAACTGTGTATTCTTGAAATATGTATAAATATAATATGTCCCTCAAAGAATGTTATCGAGTTGATATCCGTTGTTTGAATACAAGTGCGGCTCTGTTCCAGGTACGTCTATCGTGTGAGCAGATACTATTACATATACTAATAAATAGTTACCAGATTTCTTTGCGGTGACAATTCTTTTGGAACTTAAAAGATGAAAGAACCGTTGAGGAATTCATCCGGTGAGTACGATAGATGTGGAAGCAATGCGAAGCCCAATTTATGCAATTTTGCCATTGTTGTGATGCGATTCATTATCTATAAGAAACAAGAAAATAATTATAAAGTTTTTCCAGGACACTCATTTTGCGTGGAGCTTTCCGGTACACAAATATTTTTTAACGATGTCTCCTTATTTTGATGTATTTAGAGTGTGTAATATAATAGTCAACTATATTTTAAGGTCATTCAAAATCATTTTGGTGATTTTTTTGATGTCTTTGTCCCATATCCTTATACGAATGGTTGCTTCTACTGCCGCAGAACCCATAATTGGTAAGAGTAGGATTTTTCTTTACTCAACCAACAAAAATAACATACCAAATTTAATATTTTACTTTCTTTAGGTAAAAATTTAAAAGTCTTCCATTTATCTCTTCCTCCTCTACACGGCGAAAATTAGTGAAATCGGATTATGTCCACGCCCACTCTCCAAATAGCGGTTTTATTGTAAACAACTAACAGTGCAATAACTCAGCAAATAAATGCGTCGAAGATTATATTTCGCAATCAAGATGCTGCGGGAAAACTCTATAGGAACCGGTGTAAAAATCGATAATGGACGTGACACCGACCACTTGTATGAGAAATCCTATATCTCAGGAAGTGCTGGAACAATTTGAATCAAATTGGGTGCATAACACTATCTTAATATTTTTATGTTATGAAATTGAACCGTAACCACGCTTACTGCCCATATTAAATTCTATTTGATTCTTTCACCTTACAGTTTATAGGTTATCGGAATTAGAAGAAGTAGTGGTTTTGAAATATGTTACCTTGTCAAAATCGAACCATAACTGTTCAAGCCTACAGTTACCGAATATTTTGATGATCGAATTTCCCGAAAGTATCGGTCGATGTGTGAGGCATATAATTAAAGTTCAGAGGGAGAATTTTCGCAAATATATCGGTCAGCGTGTGAATTATTTTCATAAAATTGCAAGTTTCCATGTTCTTGAGTATACTTGGGTAATGGTAAAAGTTAATGCAAGTTGGCTTCGGTTGTTTGGGTCTGCACTGACTCATACTCATTTACAAGAAAGCTTCTGCTAAGCTCCCGAAGGTTTTTTGTGAAACTGCATAGTTTAGGACTATCATATTTAAGAGAGATAAAAAAAGTA